TCTCAGCCCAACACCAGCTTGGCAGCCTTGGATCCCATTCACAGCTGCCAGAGGTAGACCAGGATCCCTTCTGAAGGGGCATGTAGACTGTATTGGAAAGCATGAGATGTGGACCCCTGAGAAATGCATGTTGCAAACCAGAGCACTCTGGAGGAAGGCCAGGCTGCAAGGGGTTGGGCAGCTGCTGCCTGCTGCACTCCCAGCTCTGCAGTGAAGACGCAAACAAGCAGTGAAGTACTAGAGCTTCAGAGATGGGGTAGGCAGGGACCAGAGGTCCTGGGAACAGATGCTGAGAGGGCCACATAAGACCTTTTATAAGTTTTGTCACTGAGAAGCTTCTGTGGAAACTCAGCCTAAAGCCATGAGAGTTCACCTGCCAGATGACACTGTCATCGATCTTTGACAGAAATGCTTAAGGCCCAGATTTTCCTGAACACGCTTTGGCCCCCTGGCCCGAGGCCAGATCTCCTGGCTCAAAAACCTCTGAGCCTCCCAAGCACAGGGGAGAGACATGGAACAGGTACAATCAGGAGCTGGGTCCCTAGGACACAGCCATGCCCTGCTCGTGGCTTCCATCCTCAGATGCAGTCCAGCTCTGCCCCCCTTTGAAGGTACAACCAGATGCCCCTGGCTCAGGACTGGGGCAGGAGGAGCAACGAGATGCAGATAGAAATCCTACGGGACACTTGCAGAACATTCACGTGCACACATCCTGTGCAGGCTCCCAGCCTGCCCTTTGAACAGAGAGACCTATAAGGGTGTGTGAGGCCTTGTGTTGCTGGCCCTGCCGCTTGGCACGCCCTGGTGGCAAATCTGGCAGGTCCTCACTAGCTCGTGCAGAAGCCAGCTAGAAGCACTCCTGAAGGAGAGGTTCTGAGGCAAAAAGAACTCCAAGCAAGAGGGTCAAGCATTTCAAATGGATGAAATCGTGCAAAGAGGCTGCGAGCTGTGCATGCTCTGCTGTGGGACAGGCGGTGACTCACCTGGCAGCAGCGAGTCCTGCCACAGGTCAAACATGCCACAGACTGAGAACTTCACACACACGGTGGGAGTCAGGGTGAGGGCTAGGGAGGGTGAGATGAGTATATCTATCCAGTTTCTCAATTGCACGTTTGCAATTAAATCCTTATACATAACATGGAATTTATTAAATATTAACAGTTGTCTTTGAGGGTTTATATTTCATTGCATAGAACATTAGAGATGAGACTTGTGGCTGTGCCCAAGATGAAGGGAGGCCCCCAAGGGAAAGGCCCTGGGAGGTACGTGTCCAGCTCACCGGGTGGATGGATGGAGCCACGCTTCCTCATATGGGGCTCCGGGCCCTTCCCTTGGCCGGCAGAAGCCCTAGCCCCTCTGCTCTGAGCACGCCCACTGGTGATGGCTTAAGAAGGACTGGAATTGCACAGTAAACAGAGGCGGGCTGAGGAGCCTCCCTAGACCTCGCCCTGGGGTTGTGCTCTTGGTGGCCTGCTGCCCACTATTGCTTCAGAGTCAATGTCTCCCTGTGCTTAGCAGGGGCAGAGCAGAGAGGAAACCAAACCATCAGTCACAAGGTGGAGGTGGAGGTGGAGGTGGAGGAGGAGGTGGAGGGAAGGGGCGAGGGGGCAAGCAAAGAGAAGAAAGGAGGAGAAAAAGAAATGAAAGAAAAATGTTTATGAGGTATACACGTAAATCAAACTGGAATGATTAAGGCTGCTCTTGAAATCAAAAGAAATCCCCAGGTGTACGGACGAAGAGCCAGCTGGTTGAGACAATGGCGGTGCCGCTGGGACACTCATGATAGCTGGGGCAGGGGGATGGCTTTGAGATGGCGGCTGGCGTGCTGGCACGCTGCCACCCACGGGCTGGGAGAAGCCTCAGCCAGCGCCCACGCTGCTTTTTCGGTGCTATGGCCTCTTATTTCAGCGATGAGACAGTGTTAGGTCCTAATGTTTGTAAAGTTCTCCCAACCCCTCACTGGCCACACATGGAGTTTTCTGCCCCCACGTCACCCAGAAGGCAGCGTGACGGGGGGCAGGGCCCTGTGGTCACAGAGGGATCCGGGCCAGCTGGAATGTGAAGGAAACGGAGCCCTGGGCCCCCAGCCCTCAGTCAAAGCCCCTCTCCAAGGCTGTGGAAAAACTTCTGGCGTTGAGGAGGTAGGGCAGTGCCCGTTAGAAAACGGGCAGCATGCGCCCAAACTCTGTGTATAACGCACTGGGAGCCTGGCCGGCCAGGCCGCAGGAAGGAGGCCATGGGAAGAGAGGCAGGAAAACCAGGTGACAGCAGGGATTCCAGAGGGCCCCTGACAACCAAAGCCCCATGGACTGGGGGTCTCACTTGTGCAGCATATCAGGCAGCTGCTGTTTGAAGCATCCTGTGTCAGCCGAGGGCCCTCCTGCCACGTCCCACCCGCTGGGAGTCTTGGGGCCAGGGTTTGCCAGATTGTAGATGCTTGGAAGAGAAGAGAGGGAGGGAGGAAGGAAAGAAAAAAGGATCTTGTCAAGAACCATGGACAGCTGCTTCCCACCCTCGCACGCCTCTCACCCTCATCTGCTGAGTGCCTTCCTGACAGCTAAACTCCTCTCTCTGCACAGGCTCCCAGATCCTCCCGAGGCAGGAAGAGGGCACCGGTGCAGGTCTGAGGTCACAGAGGGAAGTTAGGAAAGAGTCACATATTTCAGGAAGAGGCGTTTCTTTTAGTGCAGCAAAAACGTTGCCTTTTGCTTTGCGTAAGAGTGAGGAATGTGGGGTTTTGGTTAAATGGCAAGCCTCTCTCTGCCGAGGCCTTCCCTGCGCACCTCTGCAAGAGCCACAAGGGACTCACAGCAGCGCTGGCCATGGACAGCAATCATTAGCCAAATGACAAAACTTGAGGGAGATGCCACAACATCAGTGGTTTCAGTAGCCCGCCACGCCATGGGGCAGGACACAGAATAAAGTCACGGCTGTGGTTCCTTTCCCTCCCCAGTGACAGCAGTCTAACCCCAAACCTCAGGTCAGTGCAGCTGTGATCCTGGGCCACATGGCCTCTCCTGCCCTTTCCCTCGGCACTGCTTCTGATCTCACATTTGTTCCAGGGCAACTCTGAGAAAATCTCCGACTGAGCAGGAGAGTGGCAGGAAGCCCAGTGTCGTGGGGTGAAGGCAGGAAGAACACTGGGGTGCTGCACTGTGGTGACTGTAATTAGAATAATTGCAGGCTCTTTGCTTTCGTCTACAGTGCCCACTCCAGCTGGCTCCTGCCCGATTTCACCCTTAATCGCCCTCCCCTGAGATTCTGGGGGTGCTGGCTTCTTGCCCAGCCCTGCAGACCCCCGGCCTCTTCCTGGCCTCCAAGCCTCTGTGGCTGCTGTTCCCTCACTGGACCCACATCCTTGCAGCCTCTTCTCCATAACACTGTACCTCACACACTTCATCTCTGGCCTCCTTCTCTGGAACTGACTCTGCTTCACCAGCTGCACAGATCTTCTTACCCACAGAAATGAACTTTTCATTTCATTCTAATTTTTTAATTCTACGTCTCCCTTAATGGACTGTCAGCTCTGAGGGTCAGACACTTGGTCTTGCTCCCTGCTGTACTCCCAGCACAAACCTGGGATTTGACAAGTATGTGTTCAATAATAAATGAGTGTGTGGAGGAAAGAATCCTCCAATCCCAGCGTTCCTCTTCCAGAGACAAATGCCAACAAGCAGGCCTGACCTGGGCAAGGTTGTCTACCAGCCTCAAGGCTTCCTTGAGGTGACTAGGCCTGGCCTTGGCCACACATATCACATATCCTTGCTTACCATGGGAGATGCCATAGAAATGGCAAAAGAGATGGGTGGGGAGCCCTCAGGCCATGGTAGAAGGCAGGTCTCCCTCCCCACCAACCTGGATGCTCCCCAGCGTCCTTCTGTAGTGGGAGGGCCAAGCCAGAGAAGATTCCAGGATGTGGCTTACCATCCTGCTTCAGTCACTGCAGCCCACAGCAAGCCAGGGCTCCCATTCCAAGGGAGCTTTCTACTCTCAGAGGAAGATTAGGGTGCATCTGGCCTGAGGCAGAGGCTGCTTGTCTCTCAGTAACCTCTCTTTGTCCCGTCTCCGAGTTTTTTGCCTCTAGATTCACTCTATTTTTTCAACGTATGGTCTGTGAATTCAACTTGAAAGCAAAGAGTGTCTTCATGCTTAGGGCTGCAAAGCTCTGCTGGGTTTGGGGACTTTGCTGACCACCTGGAGCAAAGGCATCAGAGGAGGGATGCCATCTAGGAGCCAAGGCCACTCTACTTCAGGATGGCTCTGGACTTAGGACCCTACACACAGACTTTGAGTTGTGGGGCATTTTCCAGGCATTGAGTTGTGTCTTCTCCCAGAAGAAAATGAAACAACTGCCATCCTCTCAAGCCAGCTTAGTCAGGGGCTGGTCCCTGTCTTCCAGGAGGCAGTTTGATTTGTCACAGCTTAAAGAACCCCCCAAGCTCCTCCTAGTTCACACTTGCAGGAAGGAGGTGGGTCTGGACAGTCAGGTCTCAGTCCTTTACCGCCCTCACTCCCACCCTTCCCTGCCCCACTCTGCCCCACAAATTCTGGTCCTGACACTCACTGTTATACGCAGAGTCCAGCGCTGCGCCCAGGCCTCGGACTCCAGAGATTTTTCCACAGCAATGATACCATCTCAATTCATCTCTTCAAGAGCCTGTGGAGAATTTACAAAGGAGGATTAGGGAAGAACACCATCTCATAAGGTCCTACAACAATCTAACGCCAACCAGGGCTATGAGAGCCCTGTAGGGGTGAGAGAGTGGCTTTAAGGAGGCAGTAGAGAAGGACAAAAGCTGGCCTCCCACTGGGCTTCTGGGTAGCGTCTCTCGCTTTTTGTCCTTTACATTTGTAGGAAAAAACCCTGCATCTCAGGCCCCACTACTGGCTGAGGACCAGAGCCCTCCTGGAGGACTCCTTGGGATTGACAGTCCCACCCCTCACCCTAGGCTTCCCGGGAGGCCAGCACAGGCCACTAACACTTACCCTGCTGGGCATGGTCACCAGAATGAAGAAAATTTTTTGCCAAAAGCAGACACAGCTGTGATATGGAAAGAAAAGATATGAATCAGGAAATTGGGCCAGATCCCTCTTGTAGTCAGGGTCATCTGGGCACAGCAAAGTCAAGTGACAGTGAGGGTCGGGGCTGGTGAGGCCTCCTGCTGGCCTGTGACTACGTGTTGTGCCTGGAATCATCCCAGCCTCCACTGCAATGGGCTCTAGAGAGGCTTCCCGCGTGGGCCTGGCCCCTGGCAGTACACACCTTCCGTCAGCTTGCCAGCTTGCTCTGCAGCCCCTCCGGCCATAGGGAGGATCTTGGAGAACACGCTCTCTCCTTCCGCACCTGGCTGGCCGGCAGGAGCCCCTGGGGTCCCACTGGGTTTGGGCCCAGCCTTCACACCTGGAAGAAAAGGAACCATCATCAGGAGCCAGGCAGGTGGGAAAGCAGACCTGAAGGAATCTGATCCCAGGTGCCTTCTGGTTCCCGGGAAGAAGAAGAAGAGTAAAGAGGAGGAGGATGGAGGAATAAAGAGAGGACAGGAGAACCGGAAGACAAGGTGTGGGAAATTCAGATTCATTGCCATCAAGTCAATACTGACTATAGCAGACCTCCAGGGCGTTTTCTGAGGAAACCACACGAGGAGACTGTTCAACTTTCTCCCGTAGAGCTGCAGGTGGATTAGAACAGCCAGAGGGCACAGCCTTTGGGTTAATAGTGCATCTTCCTACGGACTAGGCCCCCAGAGCTCCAAAAGCATGGTGAGATTGCGAGGGTGGGGCAGAAGGCAAATGAGAGGAAGGTGAAAAGAGAGAAAGGAAAAAGGTAAGGATGGGAAGGGCAGAGGAGAGAGAGGGGGAGAAGGAGGAGAGAGGAGAGGATGGAAGAGGAGCGGAGGGAAGAGAAGGGGGAGGGGAGGGGGAAGTGAAGAGGAAGGGAGGGGAGAGGGAACAGAAGAGGAGGGGAAGAGGAGGGGAGGGGAGAGAAAAGGGGGGAAGAGGAGGGGACAGGAAAGGATGGGGAAGAGGAGGGGAGAGGAGAGGAGGGGGGAAGGAGAAGAAAAGGATGGGAGAGGAGAGGAAGAAGAGGAGGAAGAGGAGGGGAGGAGAGGAAAAGGGAGGGAAAGGAAGGGAGGATGAAGGGGGGAGGGGAGGAAGGGGCAGGAAAGGGAATAGGGGAGGGAAGGAGGAAGAGAGGATGAGGGGAGGGGAGGGAGAGGAGAGGAGGAAAAGGGGAAGGAGAGAAGGGAAGGTTGAAGGGAGTTTAAAGGGCATGAGGAGGTGAGGGGAGGGGAGGGAAGAAAAAGAGGAGGGGAGAGGAGCAAAATGGGGGACAAGGAGGAAGGGAAGAGGGAGGAAGAGAGGAACAGACAGGAAGACGTCATGTCCTGGCACTGGGCTCTACCTAGAGCTGCCTGTCTGTAAGGTCCTAGAGCTGGTGATTCTGTCAGAGTTCTAGAACTCTAACCCCAGTCTGCTATGGAGGTCTTCAACATACCGGGCACCTTCTCAAGGAGCAATGAAGGTATATAGTTGGCAGGCTCAAGGGAGGGAAGTTAGGGGGCAGCTCAGATAGTCTGCACCATAAGCAAGGGCATCAGGAGGTAGGCTCACCTGCAGGTCCAGGTCCTGGAGGTGGCTGGGCCTGAGGAGGCTTCCCCTGCTGGGGTGCTTTGGCTGTCCCTTTAGAGCCGTCCTGTTCTGCCCGGGGCTACAACACAGAATCAACAGCTGAGATGCTACCTGTTGACTCCATCCACACCCAGCCTAGAGCTAGGATGTCCATCCACCTTGTAGGCACAGCACTCATCCTGGTTAGGCCCCACGTTCCAGACCTCCCCTACCCCATGCACCAGGCCCCTACTTACTGGTCCTGAAGGCTGGGGCCCTGGGGCCGTGGCAGGCCCTGGCTGAGGTTTTCCTGCTGGCTGGCTGGCAGCAGAGGCCGGGCCCCGGGTCGCTGGCTGGCCCTGCTGCTGTAGCCGAGCCTGAGTTGGAGCCTGCTGGGAGGGTGGATGCTGCTGCTGCGGCTGGGGCTGGCGTGACGCTGCTGTTGACGGCCCCTGCCTGGATAGTGGCGGCTGTGACTGCTGTGACCCTGGAGGTGCCTGACGACCTGCTGGCTGTGGCTGGGGTTCTGGCTTTGGTTGCAGGGCAGGGGAGGGCCCAGGGTGGGCCTGTCGAGAGCCCTTCTTGCTGTCGGAGGCATGGTGGTACGCTGACTGAGCACGAGACGGCTGAGAGTATTCAGCAGAGCTGGGGTACCCAGGCTGGCCCTTCTTCTGCATGGCGGGAGCAGTGCTGGGCTGAGGGTGGGGCCGGGCCTCATGGCGCCCTGGGTCCCGCACGTGTGGTTTGGCAGCACGTCGGCCTGGCTCCTCACCGGCGTGGCGGCCCGAGTGCCGTCCGTGGTCACCATGATGGCGGTGTTCCTTGGCAGAGGTGTGGCGGCTTGGGCCACCCTCATCATGTGGCCACATCCCCTCCTCGGGGGGTTCGTCGTAGTCATGGTAGCTGTGCCTGGCAGGGCCTCGCTTCTGGGAGGAGGAGGAGGAAGAGACTGCGTGGCCCCCGTGGTGCCTGAACCGGTCGGAGCGGGCATCCCGGGGTTTATCAAACCAGTCTGTCTCCTCCTGGCCCAGGTGATATGCTTCAGAGACCAAAAACAGAAAAGCATCAACCCCCGGGGCTGGCCGCAGGGGGAGGCCCAGCTGAAGCCATGCAGGGAAACCAGACAGTGGGCACCACAGCCATATTACAGGACACCAGGGTCCCACGCTTACCCTCCCACGACCTAGGGCCCAGGGTACACGTGGGGCAAGCAAGGAGGGCAGCCTGCAGCAGAGCCCACTGGCTGCGGTGTCAGGCCAGGCCCTGGAGGGACATCTTGGGGCGCAGGGGTCCACAGGCAGGAAGGCCCCCCAGGTGCCGAGCCTCTGCGGTAGTCAGCCCCAGCTGTCATTACCTTCGCTGTCAGAAACCACGCAGTGAGAATCATCCAGGATGTAGCCCTCTTCACGCTTGTACATGTGGGCCCGTGGTCCATCCTTGACATGTTCCTGGACATCAGGCATGGAGTGGCTGGAGCAGAATTGTGGGCAGGTGTCCCCAGGAGGGAGAGTTCCCCCAGCAGGCCGGGGCCGTCCTAGTGGGCTTACAGGGCTCTCCTCCTCTGAGGCTTGGCTCCGCATGGGGGGCCGTGCCCGGCCATGGGCCATACTCAGGGAGGAGGGCTTGGAGCCCGCTTTTTGAAGCCGATCCACAGTCTCCCGTTCACGCTCATACCCTTTGCCTCTAACACCAAAGTCATGGCTGGACAGCTTCTCCCCACTGTAAGCAGATGCCACCCGGGACCGGCTGCTCCCTCCATACACACGGTCATCCTCCTCAGCGGAGTCCCGGTTGGACACCCCGTAGTATCTCTGCTGCTCATACACATTTTTCTTGAGGCCATAAGTGATTTCATCCTGGAACTTCCTGCCCCGAGAGCCCAGGCTGCTGCTGACGGCGGGTGGAGGGTAAGAGGCCAGGTCAGATTCCACGTCCTTGGCTTCTTCGATAGGGGAGAATTTGGAGATCTTTTGCTCCATGCCCTGCTTCCGGTGTTTGCTGCGCTTGGAGGAGACGGCAGCTGGGGCCAGGCTCTTGGAGGGATGTTTGGGTCCCATGGGGCTGGGACCGTACTTCTCTGGCCGAGCTCCATGTCTGTAGTCACTGTCACTGTAGTAGTGGGCACTGGAGGGTCGGCCATTGCTCTCCATGCTGCGGTGATGGCCACCCTTCCCACGGGGGTCATAAGCATCCTCCTCAGATTCCTCCTCCCCTCTGCCATAGCAGCAGGGCAGCGTGGGGCCCTCCAGGCCACCTGATTCTCCAGGCTCCTTTCCTGGACGCCCACTGCCGCCGGGCCCTAGGGGCTCCAGGCGTTGGCTGTCAGGGGCGGTGGAGGTGCTGTCCTTGGTCAGTTCACTGATGTCATCGATCATCACATAGTTTCGGGGGACATTCTGCTCCAGGCTGGTGTAGTGGGAATCAGAAGGGTAGGCGGGAGCTGGGCTCTGGCTCACACTGCTCCGCTCGGTGGCTCGGGGCATCTCGGGGGCCTTGGCCTGCTGATAGCTGCTGCTCACTGTTGGGCCACTATAGCTGGTGTCAGAGGGGGCTGATGACATGGCCACCGCAGGGCTGGGGATCACCTCGTAGTTGGTGGGCACCTTCTGCTCCAAGTCAGCTAGTGATGTCTGTCGTGGCTTCTGGTGCAGGGCATGACTGTCAGCTGGAACTGGAAAGTGGGTACTCTGTGTGGTTGGCATGGGTGCCTGGGCTGTGTAGTGGCCTGTGGGGCGGAAAGCTTGCTGGCCTGGTAGCCCAGGCTCAGCTGGGTAACTGGTGCCAGGGGGATAAGCAGGGGCTGGGTATGTGCTGGGGCCAGGGTAGGTGGGGGTCTGGTGTGCTGGGAATCCATTCTGGGTTGGTCCACTGGTGCCTGTGGGGTACTGAGGTGCTGGAGGTGGGAACCGGGGCTGCTGGAAGGCAGGGGGGCCGGAGGGAGTAGCAGGAACGGCAGCAGCAGGGAAGTCGGCGTACTGGCCGGCAGGGGCGTTGCAACCCTGGAGCCGGAGCTGGTTGAGCTCACTGTCCGACAGATAGTCACGATGCTCACCAAGGCCACGCAAGGGTGGGTAGTCACGGCCACCTCGGTCCTTGGCTAGAGACTCTTTGCGCTGTGTGATGCCCAGCTCCAAGTACTTGAGCTTGGCGTCAATCTCCTTCTCCTCCTCATCCAGCTCTGCCTGCTTCTTACGAAGCTTGGTGGACTCATGCTCCACCAGCCGCAGGTCCCGGTCCAGCTCCCGGAGCAGACTAGCCTTAGTGGCAGGGACGCCGGTGGGCCCCGCTAGCCCACGTTGCAACAGGCTGGCCGCGTACAGCTGTGGGGGGGCCTGGCTGGCCAGGGGCAGGTGAACCTCCTCTGGAGGGGGGCTGGGCAGTGTCCGCTTCACCTTGCGGACGAGGCCGTTGGGTGGCAGCACCGACACCTGAGACAGAGGGAAGGGCGGGCAGCACTGAGACCCAAGGCGTGGATGGCTTGATGGGTTTGGGGAGGAAAAGCCCAGGCCTGCACTGGCCCCTCAGAAGTGGCGGAGCCCTGATTCACCAGGAGGCCTGCATGCCTGCCCTGCCCACCCCATGGTCTTGAGTCCTTTGCTGTGGAGGGAAAGCCTTTGATTACTAGCCAGGCCTTCTCCTTCCCAGGACTCCGGAATGCAGGTTACAGGAATGGGGCAGAGTTCACTCAGTGCTGACCTGGCACATGGTGAGATTCCACATGTGCTCGGAGAACTCCCTAAATAGCTCCAGTGGCCCGCCACCCTCCACTTTACACCAAGGTGATGGGAATATAGGCCTAGCTGACTTGAGATCTTGTGATTTGGAAAGCTGGTGAGGATGAAGGGTGGAGAAGGGTCATGGGCAGGAGTGGAGTGGATCCTAGGCCGACCAGGGACCTAGAGGATCATGGGAAAGTTGACATGCTGGTGTCAGCTACAGCAGTCTTCTGCCCTCTGAATTTCTCCCTGAAGTGCTCTGCTGCTTGCTCACTCTCCCAATCCAGTACCACCTTCTGCCAAACCCTCTGGTCTGCGCTCTCAGCCGGCGTCCAGCCCTCTCAGCCCACTTTCTGATACTGTTCTCTGGCGTCCCCAGCAGGTCTTCCTGCTCAGGACTCTTACACTACCCTCTGTAGGGCCCACCTCACTGACCCCATATGTTCTGCATTGCCTGAAGTTGCAGCTTAGCTCTTGCCTTTGCCTCTTGTTTCTCAATTTCCCAAAATGTCTTGGGATTTGGAGTCCTGAGGGCGGTCAGTCACATCCCCCAAATACACTGGGGACTGACATTGGGCTTCTCCAGAAAAGCTTCCCATTTAGTATTACCATACATATGTTATCAAAAAGTGTGGTCCCAATCACAGAATGAAGGATAAGCCTTCAATGGTATAAATTTAACTTGAGGTTTTCACTCTGTTCGTAGTCTTGTTTTGGCTACCCACCCACGACTGTCCATAGGGACTTCTGTATCACTCCAGCCTGGAGACAAGGCCATCATGCTCCTCTGACCAGCCCCGGATCCTACTCCATCTTGCCCCATCTATTCTGCACACACCACTAAAAGCCCTTTACCAGCCCTGCTCACCTCCTCTACAATCCCACCACAATACTCCATCTCCCTCCTCTCTGCATTACACCCAGAAAATGGGCAAGGATACCTCACAAGGCCTGTGGGTCCTACTTCCTCTCCCCAGGGACACAAATGAATGGTTTACTTCACTCACTAGCCCATAGTCTGCCTGGGGCTTTCTAGAATACTGACTTTGGCCTGTCTCATCTGCCTAAAAACTCTTTTGGAAAAGCCCACTTTCCACAGTCTGACACTCTTTGTCCTTGGCATTAATTTACCTTCTCTTCTCACCTACACTGCAGTTTCAGCCAAGTCACCACATCATCTCCCAGCATCATATACATCATTAACAACTGAGGCCATGGACATGGACAAACACGCTCTAGAGGGCTCTACTTTTGAAAACAAGCGGGTGCATAAACAGACTTACTGATGGCCAAGTAGGAACAGGGGACAGGATGAGAATGGGTTGCTAGCAGCTAGCTGCAGTGTGTTAGACTAAGGGGTTTGGATTTTCTTTTGGGGGACTGAAAGCCAGGCCAGAGCTGGGAGGTAAGGATTATCTCAGGCAGATCTCAGCTGATTTTCCCGGGAGACATTCACAGACAAAGTTTGGAGTGGGAGAAGCCCAGACCAGGGTGACCTGGAAAGGGGAAGCAGCCAGCATGGATTTCTGCACTGAATGTGCGCAGTCTTTACTCTCACATAATGCTAGCAAGAGAGTGCTGTTTCCAGCAGGATATCTGGATGGGACCTGTGTGTGTACCTCTGTATGCTCAGCTGTTTTTGCTGGGCTCTGGGCTCCACCAGATATGCATGGAGAAGGGTCCATTCCTTGCCTCCCTCCCCCCTTAAAGAGAAGCCCCGCCCTGGGAGGCCTCCCAAACTAAGCATTGACCCCTGTCCCACCCTGGATCAGCCCCTGTGCCCATACCTGGCTACCCAGCCCCCCCTGGTGCTGGTAGAGGGAGAACCTCTCTTTGGCGGATTCCTCGGCGGTGGGGCTGAGGGGCTTAGGGTCAGACAGGGACCGCTGCAGGGTCTTCATGGGGCGAGGCAGCGTCTGCTGGCGGAGAGCGCTGTCAGCGGTGAAGTGCTTCTGGGGACTCACGTGGGCCTTGTTCAGCCTCTCGCTGGAGGCAAAGGAGGTGTCCAGAAGCCGGTGTGGGGACAGGGGTGAGACTGGCGAGTACAGGACCTGGGGGGACTTAGGAGGCTGGCGGCTCATCAGCTGTGAGAGGGACTCAGGGGGCAGGTGAGTCTGGTACCCAATCTCCAGGGGATCCGGTTTCTTTTTTTCAAATCTTCCCAGAGGACCTGGGGTGACGATCTGGATGCCAGGCAGGTAAGGGCTAATGGCTGTGGGCCCTACAAGCTGCGGCCCAGCCACGCCCTGTGGCTGTGCATCTGGCTCTGTCTGGCAGGCGAGGCTCTCTCCACGGCCAGTCTTCTCTGGCGCTGAGATGTACCGGATGATCTCCACTTTGGGGTCGGTGGCAGCTGTGATGTGGATGGCTGGCGAGACCCTGGGCAGCTGGTCCGGCTCCGTCTGCACTGAGCAGTCACTGATCGTCTGGATGCCCACGCTGCTGGTGGCCCGAGCGGCAGCGGCGGCCGCGGCAGAGGAAGCAGCAGCGTCGTGCTTGCTGTCGGAGCTCGAGTCTGAGTGGCGGGAAAGTCGTGAGCGGCGGCGGCGCACTGGCTGCTCCCACTCGGCATTGTCCTCGTCGTCTGTCTGCACGCTGCAGTCGGCACTCCGCCGAGTCCGGCGCCGCCGGGTCAGGAGGTAGCGGCCCTCGCCGTCTTCGTCATCTGTCTGCACGCTGCTGTCTGCGATCCTCTTTACCGTGCAAGGCTCCGGGGCGGACTCTGCCTCGCAGGCATCACGCAGGCGCGGCATGGAGTGCCGCTTCTTGATGCTGCTGCGACTGGCCTCCCAGCGCTCCTCGGTCTGCAGCGACATGTCTGAGGCAGAGCTGGGGAGACCCCTGTGCAGGACGGGCTCCCGAGGCTGACCGGGGCCCTCAGGTCCTGCCACAGCAATGAAAGCTGCATGGGTCAGTGGCGGCCAGTACTGGCCATTTTGGGCCAGTTCAGTGGCAGCTGGTGGGGCCCCTCGGCCCGGTGCCTCACAGGCTGCAGGGAATGGGGGCTTCTGTCGGTGCTTCTGCTCTTCAAGCTGCTGCTGCAGCTGTTGCTGCAAATGCTGGATCTGCTCCAGCTGCAGGCGCTGCTGTGCGAGCTGCTCCCGCTGCAGGGCAAACTGAGCCTGCCGCTCCTCCTGCTGCTGCTGCAGCACGTGCTGTTTGATAGTCTGCAGTTCCTGCAGCTCTCGCTGCACCAGCAGTTGCTCCTCCTCTCGGTGCCGCTGCAGCTCCACGCGCTCGCGCTCCAGCTCCTCCTGTAGCCGCAGCTGCCGCAGCTTCTCCAGTTCCACCCTTTCCCGTTCCAGCTGCAGCATTTGTTCCTGCTGCTTCCGCTGTCTTTCCTCCTGGGATGCTGCCTCCTCCTTCTCGTGCCCTGGCCGGCCCAGCGCCCCACTCCCAGGCCCTGGAGCAGCATCTCCTGGTGGCTTCTGTGCAGTTAGTGGGGTTGGAGCTGGGGCTGTCGTGGGCTCTTTGACAGCCGCAGGGGTGACGGTGGTTAGTGCTTCTTCCCGTGTAGCCCCAGCTGGTGGTTCTGGCCTTGGTGGGCCTCCAGCCCTCGGGGCCTTAGCAGCAGGTTTCCCAAGATAGACCGGGCCTTCAACAGGTGGAACGCCGGAAGCGGTGGGAAATCTGCTTGGTGCAGGATACCGGTACACCCCTGTGGGCCCAAGAGGTACCCGGGGCGCAATAATGGGCATGCGTGTTAGGCTGCTGAGCGGCACAGCTGTTATTCCACCAGATGCATAAGGCCGGTACATGCTCCCACGCACCATGGGCCGCAGCACCGATGCTGGCTGGGTGGTGATGGGCAGTGTTGCAGCAATTGGGGTGTTGATGGTTGAGTAGATCATGCCATCAGCTGCACGTACGGTGGCTGTGGATGGCAGCAGCTGTCTGACTGCTGTCCCCTGACCGGCTGCAGGCCCATACTGGCTCAGGTTCCCAGCACTCGGGTGGCCCTCTGGAAAAGTGGGGTTCCCTAGGAGGTCAGATCTGAGAGGAGCCAGACCCTGCGGGGCATTGAGCCCAGGCCGAGGCTGGGGCTGGTACTGCATGAGGTCAGGGCCACCACCGCTGCTGCCATGCCGCCCACCGTACTGGTCCATGGAGTTGAGGGCAGCACACATCCGGCTGATCTCACGGGCCGTGGTGGCACTGTACTGGGCTAGGCTGGCCTCCTGAAAGCCAGCCGCGTCTCCCCGAGGGCCGTACCTGTGGTCAGAGTAGATATTCGAAACAGAGCTGTAGCGCCGCATGGGGAGTGGGTGAGTCAAAAGGTCTGTTGGGTGACGTAAGTCTGTGAACGAGCCATATTGTAAGCCCTGTCCTAGGTAGCGTCCATCTGCAAAGCCCAGGCTGTAGGAGTGCTTCAGAGAGCTGAGGTCTACAGCTGAGTCTCTACCCTGGAAAAGCTGCCCCAGGCGGTGGGCGTGGTAGTTGAGGCCAGCCTCAGCCAGATTGGTGTCAGACATGGAAGAGTACAGCCTGCCAGGGAGGGCCTGTGGGTAGGGTCTCTGTTCCTCATGGGGCCCATGCCCCATCACCCCCTGTGCCCGGTAGCCAGGGGGCTCAGGAGGTTCAGGGTCCCGGGGGCCATAGAAGGGGCTGCCACTCTGGCCAGGTGGGGCGGCATCTCCCACATTCTTCTCAGGTGCACTGGGGGCAGGATGGAAGGTACCAGTGCAGCTACTGCCAAAGGGGAACTTGTAGACCATGTCACAACAAGCCAGCTGGCTCTCAGGCCTCATTCCGGTGAGGTCCAGGGCACCTGCAGGCTCCTCTGGGAGCAATGTGGTCACAGTGCCTGCTGTGCCCTCTCCCATCTGCACCATCACTGTGTGTGGCTTCCTGGCACCTGACAGGGCATGTGGCCGAAGCTCTGCAGGGGTAGCTCGATGGGCCTCAGCACCAGGCTCTGGCACTGGGCCTGGCTTGAGGCCAACGCTCTGAGCGGTGCCCATCTGGCTGATCAAAACATCCCTTCTGGCCAGAGGAGCTACCTGGTTGGGCAGGTTATACCTGGCAAATTTGGCCTCTCTGGGTCTTCCTCGGGGCCCACCTCGATAAGGAGCTGTCTGGACGCCCTGCTCTACCTGCTTGACCTGGGCCAGGCATACAGGGCTACCTGTACCCTGGCCAAAGTCAAGTCGGCTCTGGAAAGGGTCCCCATAGACCACAGGCTGCTTTGGCTGAGCCATGAGCACAGACGAGGCCATGGTAATGCTCACGGTGGTGGCAGTGCCAAGGAAAGCATGTGTCTGCTCCTGGGCATTGAGGTTGATGACCAAGGGTTGCACTGCGGTAGACTGCCTTCCTGGGATTGGGTCCAGGGCAAGGCCATACTTTCTCGCTTCCGCAGCAAGAGAGGTCAGGTCCATGCCCTGGTCAGTCAAGATGATGGGCGTGGGCTTGACAGCTGTGCGGAGGTCTACCACAGCAGTGCCAGGGGGTCTGGGGCCTGGTTCCACTCGGGATGTCCCAGGGACAGAGGAGATCCGGCACAGGGAGATATTCTCAGCAGGCAGGGCACCCCAGCCATAGAGTGCCAAGGGTCCATCTGCACCAACACTGGCTGCCCGTGGGAGGCCAGGTGGCCCAGGTGGCTCTGGGGGCACCTGTGTCATACTTGGAGGTGTTGTCTGGCTGTAGCTGTGGGCAGTGGGCTGGGAGCCAGTAGGCGAGCACACAGGGGAGGTGGAGGCGCTGGCATGGACCATTCTGGTCTGGCTGGAGGCATCTGATGCCAGTGTGATGACCATAAAGGGGGCCTCCGGAGGGGACTGCTGCCATGCCTGGCGAGGTGTACTGGGTCGGTGCGGCGTCTGTGTGCCCTGGGCCACCATCGATGTTGAGGTGGAACCGCTGGGGCTCCGTGGCATGTCTGAGGTGGGCGCTGGGCTTGGCGTCTGTGTAGAGAACTCTGCTGTGGCTCTTGAGCCCAGCTTGCCAGGAGAGAAGGTAGGACTCTCTGAGGGAGAAGATGGAGAGAGGGGTGGACTGGGGCCTACAAAGTAGGGATATCCCCGGAAGGGCTGGGAAATGCCACCTTGGCCATCACTTACAAGGGTCTTCTCTCTGGTGGTCCGCCCACCAGCCGCAGGGCCCCCAGTGGCCTGAGGTAGTGCCTCAGTTTGGGACCCATAGTTTGCAGTGGTTGGGGGCTGTCCATAACCATGGGCTGTGGAAGATGGTGAAGGGCTACGCTCGGAACCTGCTGGGGAGCTTGGGGTTATATACCCACGTGGCAGGTTGGCTGGACCGGGAGCCATGGCTGTGGATGCTGGGGTCCCAGGGCCCTGGGAAAAGGGTGCGCCCACCTCCTTGGAAGCAGAGCTGGGGGAGGCAGGAGTACTGTGAAGTTTGAGAGGGTCCTGAGGCTCCTTGGCGAAATGCTGAGTAACGCGGACGTCGGGGATGACCCGGCCCCCCATGCTGTCTGAGGAGGTGGAGGTCGACGAGGAGAAGGACACAGGGGCAGCAAGCTGGGTGGGGCTGGTCCCAGGGGTCAGAGGGCCACCGTTTTGCTTCATGGGGTCCATGTACGCACTCTCAGCATTCAGATACTGCTTTTCCTTCTTGTCATCAGCGAAGGTTAGGTCACGTGAGGAGGCCTGTCGCATGCGGGCGATGCTCTGGGACGTCTGAAGGATCTCCTCGTACACGGCCGCCCCCAGGCTGGCTGGCGTGCCCTCTGGAGCTGGCTGGGCTGCCCGGCCATAGTCATGGTCTGGGGTGTCCTGGTATTCAAAGGAGCCCTGGGCCCGAGGGCCTGTGGGCTGAGAGGGGCCACCGTGGGGCCCCCGGGTCCCTGCTGCCTGGCCTTGTTGCCGCTGCAACAATTCTGCCTTCCGCATCATCTCCTCATAGGCCTCTTCGGCACTCTTCAGGGGCCGGCCAGAACTGGGGGCCGTGGAGCCCCCCGTGGGCATCTCAGTTGGTGAATAGAGGGACATGAAGGTGGGCAGGTTGTACTCACTGCCTGACTTGTAGAGCCGGGACGGGGTGCCATCTAGGGCCTCAGCCTCGGAGTCGAGGGATGGCGAGGGTGAGTACTCGGAGCAGGAGGACCGGTGCAGCTCCTCCATCTCCGCGGCCTGCCGCAGCTCCTCCGTCGGGGAGGCATCCTCGATGGGGGACAGGTTGCTGGGTGGCGTCTTGGAGCGCTCCCGTCTCCGCTGGGCCCGCAGCTCCTCCTTGTCCCGCCGGGTCTTCCGGGCGGTGCTCCGGATGCGCTGCTGCTCCACCTCCCGCATCTTCTCCTGCTCTCGAAGCAGCTCCTCCTCCTCCCGCAGCTCTTCCTCCTCCGAGGAGTCCTCGATGGTGGGCAGTAGGGGCCCGTGGGAGCGATGCCGGGCCTTGCGCTGCTGCTTGGCTTCTTCCAGGCGCTGCCGGCGACTGGGGCTGCTGTCACTGTCCTCCTCCAGCGAGGACAGCGAGGTGGGAGAGGTCCCCGACGTGTAGCTGGGAGTGGAGGCCGGCAGTGTTGAGGAGTGCTCACCCCGGGAACGGTCCTCGGGGGAACCAGTCAGGCTCTCCATCTCCAGCTCGGGCTCCCGGTCCAGGCTGGGGTCGGGCCCTTGGCCCAGGTCCAGGTCATGGCTGTAGCTGCCCGTGCTGTTTAGCTCGATGGTCTTGAAGCGGCGGAGCCCACCCTGCAGGGCCCCGCTACTGTCAGCGGCCTCCCCGGGGCCTCCCTCGGTGAGCAGCTCCTCGTAGCCGGTGGTGGCATTGTGGGGCAGGCGCCTCTTGGGCTCCTGGCCGGGCTCAGCTCGGGGCCTGCCACCTTTCTGGGTGCCGTGTTTGGCCAGCCCGTGCCCAGAGGGGACAGCATCCTCCTCCTCCAGGTTGTCTTCCTCGGCACTCATCTCCAGGATCTGTCGGCGCATGAATTCCTCATCAGTCAGCTCTGCTGCCCGGGCTGGGGCCTGAGGTGGCAGTGGGGACAGGCCACCCTCACTGCTGTCCTCCACATAGTCGTGCCGCAACTGGCTGCCAAAGTCGTCTGAGGACTCGGCCGTGTCCTGCTGGTCCCTCTGGCGTCTCCACTCTAGAGAGTCCTCCTCTTCCTCCAGGATGTCCTCCAGCTCCTCATCTGAGTCAAAGGCCTCAGGCATGATGGACAGGGAGTGTGGCCGCCGCTTCTGCTCCTCGCTGCGGCTCAGTGGCTTGGCCTGCTCGCCGCTAGGGGCCACGCTCTGGGCCTCCAGCAAGGGCTTCACACTACTCCCCACTTTGTGGAGATCTGAGGGGCTGGGTGGGCGTGGCCCCGTCACCCCCGCACTGTCTAGCTGTTCTACCTCCTGCTGCACAACACCTGTGATCTCGCTCTGAGAGCTGGAGACGCCGTCAGAGGAATAGCCTGTGTCGCTGAGGCTCTGGGGACTTCGTGACAGGTCCTGGGAGTAAGGCTTGCCCACCGGTTCCTGCAGCAGGGAGAGAAGCGGGCACTGGTTCCCCACAGTACACAGCTCACAGGGCGCCCTACCTTCCCATTAATCTCAGAGCCCTAGAGGAGGGTTCCTCCACCTCCCCAAGGCCTAGGCCTCAAGGCTTACCACCATCCCATCTTTCTGGTCTTGAATAACTTACAGGTTCTAGGCCAAGCCCCCAGCAGCACTCACAAGCCTCACTGCCATCGAGCCAGAACCGACTGAGAGCGGACCCTCCAGCGGGGTTTTTAGGAGGCTATATGTCACACCGGCGGAGACTGCCCATCTCACGGAGCCACTGGTGGATTTGAACCACCAGAGAGGCATCTCCTTTGGGTTAGCAGGCAACTCCTCGGAATTTAGCCCACCAGAGAGCCCAGAACCAGTAGCACTAGGTTTTCAACGAGAAATGGGCTAGTGGTAAGGAGATACGCTCCAACCCAAAGGCACACAGTTCAAATCCACCAACGTCTACTCCCTGGGTAAAAGATAGGCATGAAAATCCACTGATGAGTCAACCATGACTTGATGGTACACCATGACAACAATGGTAGAAGACCCAGGAAAATATCCAGTGAACTTAGGCTGGAACTCTCAGGCTCCAGCCAAACCAGAGCCTCACTTGGGCTTTCCTTTGGCTGGGGTGTCCTTGCCCTTTCCTGTCCTCTCCAAGGCACTTGGCTCAGAGTTTCATCCTCAACCCCCAGGGGAGGCAAGCCCTTCCCATCAGAGAGCTAGGGTCCCTGGGATGTCAATGGCACTGACCTCAGTCTCCCCACCCTTGGGGGCTTCTGGGACAGCCTTGCTGGCAGGGGTGACAGGTTCAGTCCTCCGCGCCCCACTCTTTGCTTTAGGAGTCCCAGGGGTTGGGGTAGTCTCTGGAGGTGGCTTCGGCATGGGCTCAGCTTTAGCTGGGACCCCAGCCTTCTTCTCCTGGGCACTGCTTGGGGTCCTGCTGGGCTCAGAGACCCTGGGGGGCTTGGCCTGGGGGCTGGCCTTGGCAGGCAGGGGGCTGGTCTTGGTGGGCAGGGGCCCTGCTGGTTGGCCCAGCCCAGGTGGCCCCTTCTGTTTTGGAGGGGCTGTTCCAGCTGCACGGTGAGGGGCCCCTACAGGGGGCTGCTGTGAGGCGAGCATGGGCAGTGGGGTGGGCTCCCCCAGGCTGCCCTCCAGCAATCGCTTAGTTTGGCAGTTCAGACAGAGCCACTCGGTTTTCTGCAAAGAAACAAGAGAAAGGTTGATGAAAATCGCAAAGTGCTTGAGAACACTGACATGACTGTGATGGATTAAATGGTATTCCCAAATCTCTGTGTCATAAATCCTCACCCCCTGATTTGTGAATACAGTCCTATTTGGAATTTTTTTATGTTAATGAGGTCATGTCAGGGTTGGATTTCTGAGGTACAGTGAAACCTATGAGAGGTGGAATTGAACACCAGGAGCCAAGTCTAAGATGCACCACCCCAGCTGCCCATGCAGGTGAGGAGATCCAGGAATCCAAGTGTCCTGAATGGGTGACACTCAAGAGTAGACCCGAGGCTGGCAGGGGCATGTCCCCCAGGAGCCTCCTCTAGGGTGGGGGCTCATCCCCAGAAGAATCTGAAGCACTGGCCTGGCCACAGGAAGGGTAGACAGAGGAGTTACAGTGAAGCTCAGAGCAGGAGTCTAGCCCCACTGACACCCATGCCTGCTCTCACCCTGTGCCTCAGCATTCCTGGAATCTTTCTGGGTTTCCACCAGGAGCTCTGCCATCAGGATAGGCCATTATGGGAATCATGGGACCCCAGAAGGTCACAGAAGCAGGGAATAGAGAGAATCGGTGGCCCTTGACTCTGCTACTACTCGGTACCTGTCCTAGGGCTCAAGCCAGATCGTAGCCACTTGGCAGAGCCTTGGAATCCTGGTACCCTCCTGGTGAATCACACCCAGCCTGGCATCTTCAAACCATTATGGCAGATGCCAAGTCAATGATCCACCAGGGCTTCCTGCCCAGAGATCTACATGCCACATCTCTGCCCTCAGCTCTGGCAGACCTTGGCTGAAGCAGGTAGCAGGACCTTGGTGTGTCAGGGCCTTGAGACACTGGAGCTCCTGCTCTGCCCCAAGTCCCAGCCCTGCACCCAGGTTCAGAATGATAGGGTCCAGTTGTGCATATGGAGTTCTTCAGAGGCCCTGCAGCACTAGCCCTGTTTCTTGCAGGGCCCAGCTCTGACATCATTGAGGACTCCCTTAGAGCTTATCTGATGCTCTAGGTGTGTCCCACATGAATGCCAGTGAGCCTCAGAGGTGCTGGTATGATACATAATTAGAAGCCAAGAGAGATTCTTTTTATCCTGAAAATGAGCAAACAGTCCCCTTCTTTAGTCCTAAGATGAGCCAGATGGGGTTAGAATCTGAGCACAGATAAGGGGTGAAACAATGCTTCTCAGATGCAACTCAGATACTCCATATTGCCACCCAAGTTAGGCCTCTTTTGGGTGCTGGTCACCTGCCATGGACTACCCTGGAGACCTTGATCAGCCTGTAGAAGCCATCCTAGAAGCAAGAATCCAAATGGGCCATGGGGATCTTAAGAGGGGTTCAAGTTGAAGGAGGTCTGGGCAGAAGAGGCTGACCTGATGCCAACTTCTCAGAGCCAGCCTTTGCATGAGGCTGCTTATCTGAGCCCAGAGGCCCAGTCCTCAGCCAAGCATGGTCTCCTGTGATCACAAGCTGCCCAGGGCTGTGCTCTTTTGAATATTTGCTCGCAGAGACAGCCAGCCTGCTAGAGGCTGCGAGTTGGCCCTCCTGCTCCTGGCTCAGCTCTAGCAGGCATCAAGGCAGGGAAGGCAGGCGGGCGGAGGCATGTGAGGCAGGAGCTAAAAATAAACACCTGACCTGGCTGCTGAAGGCTCTTCCTCAGCCCTCCTTAGCCCAGGGCTGCAGAGAACTGGGGCTGTGGCTACAGCAGTGCCAGTTTTGATGGGTGCTGTTTGGTTTGGCTGAAGACCCCATAGACCCTCTCCTTACACCATATCCTGGGCACTCCTGCCAGCTGCTCCTCCATTGTAGGGTTCCACTCTAGTGGCGAGATATATTTAAGTTCTACTTTTTTTTTAAATTAAGATATATTTCATAAACCAGGGGAGCTCTGGTGGCCTAGTGGCAAGAAGCTGCACTGCAATCCCAGAGAGATGTGGTTCGATTCCACCAGATGCTTTGCTGGAGAAGGAGGGGCCGTCTCCTCCTGTACCAGTCAGATCCAATTTGATGGTACACACAGAGAAAATAATAATAATAATAATAATAATAAGATATATTTCATAAACCATAAAATTTACCTATTAAAAATGTACAATTTAATGTTTATTTTATATTTTAGTATATATACAGGGTGTGCAAGCATCATCAGCAATTCTAGAACATTTTTATCTTTCCAAAGATAAAAAGATATGAAGATCTTTCTTCATATCTACTAGCAGTCACTTCCCATTTTCAACCATAGTCCTTGGCAACATTTTCCAATTTGTGTCTCCATGGATTTGCCTTATCTGGATAGTTCATCTGAGAGGGACCCTTTAGCATGTTTCCAAGGTTTATCCATGCTGTAGGATTTTCCAGAATTTCACTCCTTTTTATGGGTGAGCCACATTTGAGGGGCTAGAACATAGGGCTGGCTCATTCATTTCCTTGGTCTTTCACTCACTTGTTTACTCATTCACTTCTTCACTTTACTGTGTTGTTGACTCACTCACTCACTCACTTGCACAATCTCTCATACTCTTGCTCATCCATCCCAGGCCAGCTCTGGACTTGGAGCAGCCATTTGCCTGCTTTCCTCTCACCTTGCTCCCTTCAGCTGTGGGCAGGGGATGGTCTAGGACCTGGCAGCAGGCAATGGGAAAGCTCTGATCACTACTGCCTCACCTCCCACTCGCCAGCTCCATTCTGAGTACAGAAAGGTATGACTCCACCAGTAACACCATCCTGATCCTGTGACCACCTGCTGGGCTCTACAACACCTCCAGTCACACTGCCAGACCAGGGGGAAGGGAATGAGTGCTTCAGAGACAAGAAGAGCCAAGGTAAAGGGCCCAAGACTCAGACGCTGGACCAAGGGCAGAGCCCCGATTGTGCTGCTGCCCCTCTATAAACCCACCTTGCCCCTCACTGTCCCCTGACATGCCCAAGTTTCTAGGTCTCTGTTTCCCATACACGGAATCCTTCCAGCATCCCAAATGTGCACCCTTGTGTCTGAGTTGTGCTCCTTTCAGGCCCCGGCATCAAACATGCTCATTCTCTGTGGTATCCTTTCTAAGGCTATGAATTTACACAACAACCAAGGGTCAGTGGAGACTCTTCTTTTCTCATACTCTTTTAGGACATTCTGGTTCCAATTACTTGCTCAAGGGCTCTCTGTGTATTGGAGCTCACATGAAATCTGAGGTGCACCATCTTACCCGGCTCCCACAGGAACCCAAGAGGGGATATTATTGCCCCCACTACATGGGGAGGGCATTAGCTCAGCCTCGCCCCACATGTCACATGTGCAAAGCCCTAGGGAGTACTGACATCTCAAAGGCACAACTGGAAGTCTGGAAATTATAATAAGATAAGAAACTGGCGATGTTATTTTAACAATTCCAAATTGTACTAATTTCTTCACAAACTATTTTGAACTGAAAGCCAATTAAAAATTAAGCCAAAGGGTGCTATTATCCTTCAAAAGAGATAAATAGGTAAAAAATTTTGGAATCAACAACTCTTAATTATAAAATGACTCACTAAATAACACTATGGTTCTTTTTTCAGGGGAAGTCTCATAGGAAAAAGAGATCCAGTTCTGCTGACTACTCTATTCTCCTGTCTGGCCTAGAAAGAGGGCAAAAGGTCTTGACAGCCCAGACAAGTTGGGGAAAATGTCAAACCTGTCAACTCAGTGGCTGGCTCTGACCTAACAACAGGAAGTCTAATGAGCCTGTGGAGAGATACGAATCGGGGTGCCCCTAGTATGTCCACTCCTGAACTCCCCTCAGTCAAGTAGGTATGGGGAGGGGCAGCCAGGGCAGAACTGACCTCTAGAATCTAAGGAAGATCTTGCTGTGCTGACCTCCCAAGGTGTCTGCAGACCTGCTGAGAAGTCAGGGACCCTGAATCAGGAACTGAGTTGGACACAGGGAAGCCCAGAACTGTCCAGAACTCCAAGTGGTCACTCACAGAACTGAGATCACAGGAGGCCACAGGTTAAGGGCCTCAGTGAAGAAGAGCAACATCAACCACCAACCCCTCTCTGCTAGCCCTTCAGAAGACCCGAGGCAGGAAGAGCTAAGAGGAGGTTTTGGTCATTATGTAGGTGATGGAAAACAGGGTTTAGACTAGGGCTGTGGCCATAGGAGAGAAGAGGAGCCAAAGGCGTGTGATGGTGGGAGGCAGAAAGTAGGATTCGGTTTAAGCAGTGGCTGTTAAGGTGGGAGTGGAGGAGTTGAGGATGATTTCAGGCCACTGGATTCAGTCTCTGACGGTGGATGGTGGTACAACCTCTGTGGTGGAGACCATGGTACACCATTTCTTCTCCAGGAGCAGCCAAAGGCCCTCTGGGTAGAGCAATATTCATAAAGAGGAAGTCAGAGAAGCAAGGCCATTCTGACTGCTGTTAGGACAAGCAAGTGGAAAAATAGAGGGCCCTGAGGTGACAGGAGTGGGTCAGCCATCAGCTCTGTTTTCAGAGATGAGCTGGCCAAGTGAATGTGTCAGACCCTAAGGAAGCAAGGCTATTCTGGCTAAGAAGACAGCAAGCAGTGAGGCAGAACATGAAGACAACGGGACACAGTAGGGGCTGGGGTGGGGGTTAGTGCTGGCTACAGAGGGACAGAAGTTCCAAGGTTCATAAAGGCCGGAGCCAAAGTGATTAGAGGCTTAGGTCAGAATCCAGATGCCTCATCCTGAGTTTGCACAAGACTGAAATGTTTCTGTTTCAGCCGAATCAGCATTTCCCTGTAGCTTGGCCCAGGGGCTGCCAAGAGAAGCTGTCAGAAACATTTATGCTCTGGACAGGGACAGTTTCCCCCTTTCCTCTCTGTACCTCCTCTTTAATGAGGGAAAGCGGACCAGGAGGCCTCCTGGGCATGAGGCTCCTCCAGGCTGGGCCAGCTCAGCAGTCCAGCAGAGCTCACAGCCCCTCTGCATCAGGTACCCTACCCAGCTGGCAGTGAGCTTAGGCCTGGCAGTCTCTGGGACGGCAGCCATCTAGGGTACGACTGACCCTGTGGTGATTCCACTGGTGCCTCTCTACATCTAGGCAGAAAGACTAGCTGCTCCCCAGTTAACCTCTGAAACCAAGGCTTAGTGAAGAGGCCATGTGGGACCTGAAGGGCAGCATCGCATGAGGTCACCTGTCCTGCTTAGGGCTGCCCTTCCCTAAAGCACATTGAAAAATATGGTAGCGAAATCAGTCCTCACCAAACTAGGTGGTTTCTATGATGGCTTCCATGAGGCTCAAGGTAAATCAAGACAAGGTGTCATGGAGGTAATGGTGACACATGCTCGCCCTTCCATGCGGGGTCACTGGTGCTCTACATCTCACACCCCCATCCAGAGGGATGATGCCTGTGTGCAGGAGGCAGGGGTCCTGGCTCAGTCATTTCCTGACACGATACTGCTGGGAAACACATTCACCTGCCAAGATGACCCAAACTCAAACTCCACAGGCAGTCCAGGGAAAGGAATATAACTGGCTGTGCCAACGCAGTTACAGTTGGGTTCATATGGGCAGGAGGAGAGAAAGTGAGGGCAGTGGGAGAGGGAGAACAACCGTTAGGCCCAGTCTGGATATGATCTGCCAACTTCACATCCTCTGAGCCTCCAGGCTGAGCTCTGAGCTATCCGAGAACATGGCAACCCCTGTTCCCTTGTGCTTAGCTCTGACACAGTGTCCTGTGTTGTTCCTAAAACCAGGACTGCAGAGACTGGTCCCAAGTTCAGCTCTCTGTCAAACTTTCCTGTAAGTGAGAGGAACACCTATAAGCATTTCCACAAGTAACTGCAAGGGGGCGCCCAGCCCAACCAGAGGGAAGTAAGCAGACCAGAGGCTGTGGTTCTGACAAGCCGATTTCAATACTGATGACCTCGGAAGAGCTCATGCTGGTGGTCTCAGACACTGCTTGTTGCTTCTACCACACTGGCAATGGCTAGGCGGAAGCCTAGGTGGTGTTGTGGCCTGTTCCTCTGTGAAAACTCTGAGAAAGCACCCCCATCCTGGCCTGGGCATCAGACATATGGAAGCATGGCCTTCTGCCTCACAGTCTTTCATCCCCCAACCACAGTCACTCCTGCTCCAAGTGTCACTGCATGAGGACACTGCAGTGCCTCAAGTTCTTCCTACTTGAGCAAAGAAGACTGGCATTGTCCACTGGGGCCACGGCCATGGTAGCCAGGGGAGGCCAGCTGAAGGCCACTAGGCTCTGGGCCCAGCTTCAGTATAAAGGCCAGCCAGTCAGTCAGAGGCAGTGAGCACTGCTGTCCCAGCCTTCACTGGGCCAGTTAATTCTCAAAGTGGAAGGAGTAGTGTGCCCTCTAATGTCCTTCCGATACATGGCTGTGGGTAGGGACAGGAAAGGAAGAGCAATCCTTCTGCTGTGTCAATACCTGGACACCCTTGCTCCCGCTGCGGACCCAGATCTCCCCAGCTTTTCCCAGCTCCTGTGACCCCAATTTCCCCAAGTTTCTCACAAAGGCCTGAGGGAACATGCTTGGCCCAGCTTTCTTACCTCTACCAGGTGGGGTGTTGGGTTGAAGCCACACAGGTTGCACACCTGGAGCTTGCAGGTGGTGCAGGTGTTATAGTTGGCTGGGCCCTTGCTGCCCACGTTGAGCTCGGCTTGGCACAGTGGGCAGGTGGCTTTTTCCTTCGGCATGGCCTTTGGCTTGGCAGCGGCCTTGGATGCTGCCTGCTGTTCTGCTTTGCCATGCTTTGGACTGCTAGTCCCCCCAGTTTTTGCCAGGGCTCCAGGCCCTGATCCAGGACCTGTTCTAGCTCCAGGCTCAGTTTTGGCTCCAGGTACTGGCCCAGGACCGGGCCCAGAGCCCGGGGGTCTTGAACCAGCCTCCTTGCTGGCATCACTGAAGATGATCTTGGGTTGCCCCTTGCTAGGGCTAGGCTGACCGTGGGAGTCAGCCTCAGGCTGCACAGACATGAGGGTGCTCGCCTGGGTCAGCAGCGACGCACCGAGGCCAAAGAGCTTTCCGGTGAGACCCTCCTGTGTCTGCTCAGCAGCACCAGACCCAGAGGGCACTGCAGTGGCACTTTTGGCCGGGGGCTCTCCTGCAGGTGGCCTGGGCTCAGCTGTGGAAGGCTTGGTGGGGAGAGAGGGCTGAGGAGACACCCTCCCCACCTCGAGAGGGGCAGCTGGTTGGCCAGGCCCCAGCACTGAGGCTGCCCTGGCTGGCTCAGCCTGGTGCGGGCTTGGTTGTGGGCCTCCTTGGCCCTGCAATCTCTCTGGCTCTCCCTTCCCCAGGGGCTGCTTGGCTGGGGAGTGGGCAGGTGACAGAGCTGGGGAGTGCAGCTGCTGCTGGCTCTTGGAGCGAGGCGCAGTGGTCATGTCCATCCCCAGCGCCCTCTGCATCTGGCAGTTCAGACAGAGCCACTCCTTCACCTGAGGAGAGAAGACTGTGGTCAGCAGGGTGGCTGTGCGCATGGCAGCCAGGGCTGGCTCCTAGCGCCAGCAGGAGCACCACATTCACTTAGGTGTTGCTGGGTTTCCAGAGGACAAGGGGCCAGAGGGGCTGAAAAGAGCAGCTTCCAGGTGTGTGGCAGCCCAGATACAGTCCCACACTCTCTCTCAACCACAACCCCATCACCTTTCAGATCTTCATGTTCCAGAGCACGCTCCACTGCGGCCCCAGATCCATCATTCCATACCTGTATATCCTGCTTCACCAACCCACACTCTCATCCTCCTGCTTATAAAACTCAAACTCATTGCCACTGGGTTGGAGCTGACCCTCCAGTGTGTTCCCTGTAACATCACACAGGAGGAGCCTGCCCATCTTTCTCCTGTGGAGCCAGAGAGGCTCAGTCTTTGGGTTGGCAGTGAAATTCCCTGTGGATAAGAGCCTTCTATTGGGTCACTCTCTCCGCTTGTCCCCTCAGGCTATTTCCACGCAGAAGCCAGAGTAATTTTTAAAATAGAAATCAGGAAACAGAGCATGGTTGGATTTTGCAAAAACCTGAATGAGAACGCCACCAAATTGAGGACCCTAGCCCAATATATAATGGGTAATCAAGAAAAGTTTTTAAAAAAATAAATAGGGGAAGGGTAAAAGGTGGGAGAGGAGGGCATGGAGGATAAAAAGAAACTAAGATTCTCAGTGGAGTCTAGCTATGGAGACAAGATATATATGGAAAAAACCCATGAGCAAAACAATGTAAGGTCGGTGACCGATGTGCGCAGAACAAAACAAACCCCCACGCCCCAGGTTAAGGAAGGCAGTTTTAAGAAAATGGGATAAAACCTGTGCCTTCAGAACAAACAAAACATTTATTTGTGATTGTTGTTATGTGCCATGGAGTCGGATCCGACACGGAGCTGATCCTCCAGGAGACTACCCATCCGCCTCCCTCAGAGCAGCTGGTGGATTTGAACTGAGTGCTGGGCAAAGTGGAGGGATAGCGCAGGAGGGGAAGACCCTCTATGAGGTGGATTGATTCAGTGACTGGGGTAATCGGGATGGGTGTGTCGGAGGCAATGAGATTGGCACAGGATAGAGCAGGGTTTGGGACTGTTGTACATAGGGTTGCTATGAGTCGTAAATGACTCGACGGCACATAACAACAACAACAACAAACCTTTGAGATTGCAATATACTTCCTTACCACTAGGCCACCAGAGCTGTGCCATTTTCCTGCATCATCTATCCCTTCTTGCATACAGTGACTCAAGCTAGGCCTTTCATTGATTGCAGTTAGTGGTTTAGGGACAGGCATGTGTCCTTACAAACAGGGAAAATCCAAGTCTTCCCAGGTGATCTGGATGGTAAATGAACAGAAGAGAAAAGGTTCTTAATCCCCTTTTGGATTGCTAGTCTGAAGGATATAGCCTTAGAGTGGTCTTTTTCCCCCCAGCAGGCAGAGAAATAGTGATTGTGGTACATAGATCGCAGGAAGTGAAGTCATGAAAGGCAGAGAGGATTTGACAACTTCATTTCACTCCTGCACTCAGGGGTGTCTTGAGTCTGTCCTTGGTGAGCACCCAAGTGTGGCAAGAACCACATAGGGCCTGCTCAGAGTGTATCCATTTTTTCCCCTTAACTGTAGAGAAAATTAGGGTTTGAAAGGGCTTAGTGACATACCCTTGGGGTTACCTGCCCTATGATTACCCCAACCCTGGTAGCCCTGCTCACTCTAATTGACAGCCTGTGCAACCCGGAGCCTAGTGCTCTCTATGCTGAGGATTGTAGTCTCTGTAGCTCAGGCCGCTCAGCTTCATACACATCAGTCTGTGGGTCTAGAAGTTGCCCTTGCTTTTAGAGTTGGCCTTGCTTTTTTTTCGATTTTGCTAGTGTTTTGCAGGAGTGAATTCCAGACAAAGCAGGATGCTTCAAAGACCAAGGCCAGTTCTAGAGGCCCCAGGCAGTGATGCCACAGTACTCAGAAGTCACCCTGATGCTTTTTAAGACCCAAGACTACTTTGTCCACATTCAGAAAGAGCGAACTACAGGGGTGTATAATTTCTGTCCCTGACACTCAGTCAGTGACCTCTTTAGAAAGGTCATTCTTGGGATGGGAGAAGAGGGGTTCACCCTCAGTAGAGTGGGAGTTCCCAAGCACAGGCTGCTTTGCTCATCCTGAGAGGGATCCTGGGAAGGAAAATGTTTGCCATAAAGGGAAGCCCATCTTCATAAGACTCAGTTCTTACAGCAGGTGCCAGGCCCACACCCAAGGCATGTCCTGAGGTGGGACTTTCTGAGAAGGGGTATCTGGTGGTAAGACTTCAAGATGACCCTCCTTTGGGTTCTAGACAGGACCAAACAAGGACATATGCTAAAACTCCTGTACTCGCCAGCAGAACCTTCCCTTCCACATCACAGGCTTTGTCACAGGCGCCTCACCTAAAATAGAACCTCTCCAAGAAACGGCTGAAACACCCCTCAGTGACTCATCGCCCAGATGGGTGCAGCTATTTCTATCCAGCCTCTTCCAGACGAGGCTGAGGAGCCATGACCGCACCCTTTACTACCTTCCCCCACTCCAGGCTCAGGTGCAGGCATGTGGGCCTGGCATGTCAGGCCACCTAACGAGGACACTGGGTGAGGAGTCTTGGCACCCAGCAAGAATTCCTCCTCTAGGTTCCCAGGAGCTTACTGAGAGGAGCTTGATCAGCCTCTTCCTCCCTACTTTAAGGTCCTCCATCTGTGCTGGGTTGCCTGATAGTCAGGGAGAGAAATGGCTTTGCACCTTTGGCCTGCCTGCCCTCCTTGGCTAGGTATCACTGGATATCCTGAGGTAGACCCCCTTGGCCCTGGGACCTGCCATAGCCAGAGTTTTTCTTAGCCACAAACTGAGAAGAGTCTTTCCCAAGGGGCTAAGCCCAGAAGACTCCCTGTGGCTTCTTGGCACCCTCCAAGTCACAGCCCACCTGAGTCAGGGATAGCAGTCCTCTAATAATGTAACAGAAAACTTCCATTAGGGACCTGCTGAGCAGTGTCTTGAATTTTGACCTGGCACATGGCCAGGAGATGTGCAGGCTATCAACCACAGGTCTTATTTATGTCTCCAGAAGTCAAAGCTGAGTTCCTCCCAAGCAAAAAGCTCTGCCAGACCTTGACTTTAGTCAAGCTGACCATTCTTGCTAGCACAGAAACCTATCCTTCCACCTCAGAGGGCCAGTGGGACCTCCATGGACATATATGAGCACCAGTCCAGTGGAGGCTTGACAGCAATAAAGACAAGAAGGCTCGGGATATATAGATATATATATATATATATATATATATATATATATATATATGCGCGCGCCAGGCTGAAGTACACTTGGCATGAGGGCATCACCAGGAAGGCAGGGCCTTGTACGCTCTGTGATTCTGCAGGGATCTTTCTCCTCAGAAGAACTTTCCCCAGTCATTTGCATCTTATACGAAATTTTCAGTGTACAGAGGGCAGCTAAGGTGGCACTTTCCCCCAAAGATCCGGAGGTCTAGGCACCAGGCTAAGAACTCTGAACCACAAGTTGAATGAGCAGCTATGGCTGCCAGGTGAGGCCACTCCCTGCTGCTCCCTTGGTTGGGCCCTGGAGCAGGAAGGAGGGTGGGGGAAATTCTGGAAGGGGCTTTTACATCTCTGTTGGGTCACTGAGGTCTGCCACTTCTGTCTCAGTCTTGAAGGGTGTGAGCTAGTCTTGCTTGCCACATCTAAGGATACTCGCTGCCCAGGGAGTCTTCACCTGCTCACAGCAGGAGGCCCTCCGAGGGTCCCCAGCAGTGACATGTCCTCTTCCTGTCCCAGATCCCCACTAGGGAGGAGGAGGCATGTGGACTACACTTAGCTCTCTTTGCTGCTGAGAGCCCCAGCTCTCTCTCGGAGTGCAGGCATTCGGCGTTGTCAGGTCACTGTGCACTGACATCATGCCTGATGGTGCATTCATGCTTTCCATTTTGGTGCCAAGTGGAAGCATCAGAGAAACAGCTCATAAAGGCGCCCTCCCTGCTTTGCCAAATCCAGGAGCTTCTTTTAGGGCTCACTGACCAGCTTGACTCCAGGCTTTGCCAGGTTATGAGTGACTGGTCTGGTCTGCCCAGGAGGCACAGAACCCAGGGCTGGTTCCTCACATTCCTCCCAGTACCTGACTTATCACATGCCTCATTCTCCTCTAGCTTCCCAGGTCAATGCTCCAGCCTCTGGACTTCGAGCCCTGTATAGACCTCCCACCTTCTGAGCCTCTGCTTTGGCGGTCCCTCTGCATTTATATGCTTTCCCATCCTGCTGAGTCTATCTATTGTTAAATGCTAGACTGACTCCTCTGAGCTCTCATCCTTGCACCCAACTGCATCTCTACCTCCAAATAATTGAATAGGCAGCAGGCATGTGGGCTTCACTGTACATTAACTTGTGCTTGCCAACCTGACACCCTCCACTTCCCTGCCTTCTGGCTTAAAGGATGGGCCTGCTTCTTATTTCTTAAAGAGAAAACACATCATAGGAGAAGTCCTCCAAATTCAGGCTCTGTATTCTACCTCTTTGGGGTCTGGCTCTTCAATCACACTCCATTTCTTACACCCCTGGGTATCTCCTTCCTCTCAAAACTTAGACAGGTGTTGTAACCATCCTTTCTGGTGTATACACTTCCCTAGCTACTGTCTGCACTCCCTCCTTCCCTTCTCAGCCAAGCTTCTCATAGATGAACCTCAAAAGCGCTGGAGCTGAGTGAAAAAAAGCCTTACATAGAGCATGCATTCTCTATGATTCTATTTCTATAAAGATCTAGAACAGGCAAAATTCATCTATGGTTGATAAAAATCAGAGCAGTGGTTGTCTCTGAGCTTCAGAGGACTTTCTGAGGTGACAAGGATGTTTTCTATCTTGAGAGAGGGGTTTGTCTGACGCAGATCCATGCTTTTGCCAAAGCTCACAAGATACCACTCATTCGAAGCTCATTAT